GCCCCTCTCTCCTGGGCCCTACACTCACACCACACTGGCCTGCCTTCAATGTTGCAAGTTATGTTTCTTTCCTAGCAGGTTTGCACATGAAGTCGCCTGCCTGGCTTAATCTGCTTCTCCTTCAGCTTTCAGCTGCACTGTCCCGAATTCACAGAGACCTTCCTAACTCCTCACCCCACCCCCCCAAAATTAAATCCTCTCTGGACTGGATTAAATGCATCATGGAGCATCTGTGCAGTAGAATACTAGATGGTCATTTAAAAGAATAAGATACATCTATATATTGATAAGGAAAGATAAAAGCAAGTTGTAGAATAATGTATATGTAATGTGATCCCATTTGCAAACATTTTAAAAGGATGTATGTGCTGTGGTTTGCATAAATTCTTTTCAGTAAATATATATAAGAAATTGTTAACAGTGATTACAGATAGAGAGATAACTAGGTCTCGTAGAAGGAAGGGAACTTTTTCATTTTAAACTTTTCTATGGAGTTTGAATTTATTACCACTTACAATGTTATTTTTACTTAAGAGAAATAAAACAACTAGGTCTCCCTGTTATTTTCTGCCATGGAATTCAGTTAGTTTCCTTCCCAGTATGCATTTTGATTTGTAAGCAATATGTTTATTCAATGTCCTCTACCAGGCTGGTGCTTCATGAAGTCTGGGACCATGTCTGTTTTGTTGCTGTTGGTACTGGTACCACCTAGCATGGCACCTTTCACATAGTAGGTGATCAGTCAATATTCCCCGGATAAATGAATGAACAACCAAGTGGACGAAGGGAGTTTCTCCCCATCGTGGCTAACTGGGCACCACGTGGGGCAGAGAAGCAGGGTGAACAGCTCAGAGATAGCTGACATAGAGGCAGGGAGCACGCACACAAGACCAGGGAGGACTCTTTAAGGAGTCCGAGCTCGGGCAGAGAGCAGCATATGCTCTGTGTGAAAATGGCATTGCCTGTGGGGGACTGAGATGAAAGATTAGGGTTTTGACTCCCAGGACACCGTGGCCTCACAGTTCTCTTGCCTCACCTGCCCCTTTTCTAGGGCTGTTCAGGGTGCCCAGCCACCTCCTCCTTGGGGCTCATTTAATAAGACCTGGGATAGAGTCTCTGGGGCTCTTGCCTGGGTGCACTTTTTCCATTCTGTGCCATTTGGCTCTGTAGGGAAGTAGCAAGTCGGGGCATATGGTGAGGGAGAGGACTTCACTTATTTATAGTTATTGGAATCAAGAGAAATATCCAAGAACAGAGTACCGTAAGTCTCAGGCAAAGTAAAAGATGTCCCAACTGTAGGCGGTTGTCTGAGCCCTCACTATAGGAGGGGGTGTCTTTAAGGCATTTTCCGTTTGAAAGGAAAGCACGGGTGGGGTGCAGATGAGCTCAGGAGTGGCAGCCACATTGGAGTTGGAAGTCTGGCTCTGTTCGTTGTTAATGGTTTCACCTCATGCAGGCTGCTCAATTTTGCTTAGCCTCAGTGTTCTCTTCTGACAAATGGTCATCACTGGGCAGGATTAAATGAGAAAATGAAGGTAGAGCCTTATAGTTTCTATATATGCTCAATATTACAGTATCTGCTAAATGAATGAGAGTAGTTATTGAATACTTCTTTTGTACTGAGCACAGTGCTTAGTATAAAGATTATTGCACTTAATAGTTACACCAACCATAGGAGATGGGCATAGTGATGATCTTCATTTTACAGCTGAAGAAACTGAGGCACAGAGAGGATAAAGTCACACAGCTAGTACGTGGTGGAGCCAGGATTCAAAACTGGCTATCCTTCCTTCAGAGCCTACGTTCTTGGCACTGAACAGGACCTGTACCCTATGCTTTACTTACCTCACTGCTGTTGCTAATGTCCTTGTTATTAGCAGCATAGAAGAGAACAAGAATAAAATAAACGTAGTTATTGCACTTTTTAAAATATGGTATTCCTCCGTTGTCTCTGTTAAAATCATGTGCTTTGTGTGTTAAACTTCACAACCTGAATCAGCCTGGCTCTCCAGTCCACATTTGCGGGTCAAGTTGCTGTCTCTGACTGGTGGCAGGGCCAGTCATTCCTTGGAGGTCATTCTGTAAAGAAGCAGATTGCCGAAGTCCATTTTCTTTTTTCTATATTTGTTCATGGTATGTGTGAGAGAGGGGGGTGGGGAGGGGGGATGGAGAGAAAGAGAAAAAAAACTCCCCAGAACATATTATGTACACATGAGCAAGTACTTGTCTGTGATTGTAAATCAGAAACTGTAGAATTGTGAAGTTCTTTGAAGTTTGCCCAAAATCTGCTCCACAGCCACCTGTTCCACTGGGGGCCGGGAGTTGGATGGCCTGCCTCTGCTGCGATGGCTCAAGCTGTTACTGCACCAGAGTTCCAGCTTGCCTTGGCCTGGCTGTCATCGCTGGCTCTGTCCCACTCAGGCAGTTCACCAGGTTCTGCTGGGCACCAAGCTTCCAATTAGAGAGAAATCCCACTGTGTGGCCAGCCCCACCAGTGCCATTTTGAGCAGCCCCTTTGCCAAGGCCCGAGCTGACCTCTGCTCTGTCACAGATGGGCCAGCCCCACACTCTTTTGTGCACATTTGGAGGAGGGAGGTGGGGATGAAGAGGGAAGCCCACGGGGAGTAAGTGTGGACATTGGGCAGAAGTGCGGTTCCTCAGAGCTCGGAGGAGCTGGGCAGAGTTGACAGGACCCAAATGCTAGAGTTGTGGAAGGAAAGGGGAGTTTGGGAAGACCCCGGCCTGAGCCCTAAACTCAGCATGGGGCATTTTCTTACCAACTTCTGAATATTCATCTCAGGCTGGACTCCACACCCGAGAAGAGCCAGGAGCAACTAACTGGCGCACTCCAAAACTGTCACACTGCCGATGGCACGTGGCATGGCCAGCTTCCTCCCTGTCTGTCTGCTGGGCCTGTGCAGTCTCACCAGCCTGGGAGGCCCGCTCGCCCTGGGCTCAGAGCACGGCACTGTCAGCAGCCTGCACGATGGACTGTATTAATCATTCAGGGCGAGAGTGAACAAGAGAGCCAACTTTCTAATAGCGTGAGAAATAGAATCTTAGAAAATTCCTTCTCTAATTCTCTAGCAGGAAAGAGAGAGATAATCCGAGCTTTGAACAGCTTCTTTCTAGATACAGGATTTGCTGAATGTGGTTCATTATTTTGGGGGTGGTGTATGTGTCTCTTCTTTATTTCCCTTATCAACAATTTCTTTTTATTTTTATCCCTTTCACTCTTTTTATCACTTTCTTTCTCTGCCTGTCTCTTTCTGTCTCACTTTCTGTGTCTCTGTCTCTCCCTTGCATACTCTCTCTTTTTCCAGGTACAACATCTGTGACTCCACAGTCGGAAGTAATAATAAAGACACCAGGCTCAGAACTGACATTTATATCCTCTGGCTTGTCTTGACTAGAGCAATAGCAACGTCTAAATAATGAATAGCCTGAAAGTGGCAAGGGTCTTTCCAGCTGTTCTTGGAATGATTTTGTGCTTCTTTTAAAAATAAATTTGAGTACAATCCATGGAAGCAAATATGAAGGGGTTCTTCACTAGTCTCTCCTCTCTGGGATTTTTCCTTCTTTAAGTGTTTGCAGTTGATTTAGGAATTTCTGGACTGTCTCACTCCACTTGTCCTTTTTTCCTTCCCCATCTCTTCTTTTTGCTCTGATTGGTTAAATCAGAACCCCATTTGGAGAAGGAAATGTTTCTTCAGAGTGTTAGGTTGTTCCCAGGAGAAGATGGACAATTTTTGGTCACTTAAGCAAGTTCCCACAATTAAGTGATATGTTCTTTCTCAGTGTCTCTGTTTGCATGACTTTGTTAGATTGATGAAAGAAACGCCCTCGTGCCTCCTCATATGTCTGTAATTGTGCTGGAGTTTCAGAGAAGGAAAATCTCCATGAGACAGTAAGAAAAATGTGATCCTTAGAATCAGCATTGTTTATTATATTAGACCTGGTAAGTGGAGACTCTGACCTCTGATACAGTGTTGGGGAGCCAGGTTATACCATTAGGTGTGAGGGACTTCGGTGCAGGCTAAGGGCCATGACGATTGCCCTCTGGAGCTAACACAGACAGATCTGGGTCATGAGGAGGTGGCACTCATAGTGTGATGGAGTTTGGATGTGTTGCCCCCTCCAAAACTCATGTGGAAATTTGATCCGCAATGTGGCAGTGTTGGAAACTGATTGAGTCATGGGGGCGGATCCCTCTTGAATGGATTAATGCTCTCCCTGGGGGAGGGGGCCTCAGTGAGTTCTTGCTCTATTAGTTCCTGCGAGAGCTGGTTGTTTATAGAACCCTGGCACCTCCTCTCTGTCTCTCTTGCGTCCTCTCGCCATGTGATCTGCTTGTACCCGCTGTCTGCTGCCACTTTCCACCATGAATAGAAGCAGCCTGAGGCCCATGCCAGATGCAGCTGTCCCAGAATCGTAAGCCAAGTAAACCTCTGTTCTTTATAAATTACCCAGTCTCAGGTATTTCTATTATAGCAACACAAAATGGGCTAATACATAGTGACTTCCACTTTGTGACACTACACATTCTCAGTTGCTCTGTCTCTGACCATGCCAGCTCATTCATCGGTTCCTCTTTCTTCCTCTGCTCTAATATAAGTCCTTCCCTAGGTGCTGTCTGGAGGTCTCTTCTCGTATCTTTACATTACTCCTTGGAGATCCACTCCAATGGCTTCTAACCTGGCACATACATCAGAATCACTGAAGAGATCTTAGGAAAAAATAGAGATGCCTGAAATCTCACCCAGGAAGCTCTCTTTCAGCAGGCTGTAGGGTAAGGATTGGGACTCAGAAATTGTTGAAGCTCTGCCTTTGATACCAATGTGCGCCCCTAGTTTGGTGCCACAGCCCCAGACCGAGTGTCCGTTTACCCCCCAGCCAGTGGCCCATGGCTGGCGTGTGGAAGGTGAACAAGTAATCAGTGGAGAAGCAGGCAAGATTCCTATTCATGCTGTGGACAGTTTTGCCTCCACCTCTCATTGCAGATATTCCTGTTATTCCGGATCTGGAAGAAGTACAGGAAGAAGAATTTGTTTTGCAGGTGGCAGCCCCTCCTAGGTAGGTTAAATTAGGTATGAAGTTGGTGGGGAGGCAGAGAACATATGAATTAATACTCTCCAAATATCATCTACAGTGGACCTTTGCTGCCCCCCAATGTAGATCCAGATCTTTCTTGTGATGGGCTCCATCCCAGGGTCCCCATTTTGTTAACATATTTTGTTCACATTCTGGTCATCCCCAGCCACTGAAGGCTCTGGGGACAGTGGCCCAGCAGCACTCCTGGAACTGGTTCTGTCTGTGGTTCCTCCTCATGCTTTCTTTCCTTCAGCATCCAGGTAAACCGGGTGATGACCTACCGTGACCTGGACAATGACCTCATGAAGTATTCAGCCTTTCAGACTTTGGTGAGTGGAACGGCTCTGCATAAAGGGGCAGGCTCCAGGTAGCATCCAGAGATTTCTCAGTCCCTCCAGAGCTGCACAGCATGTCCTCCATGGCCCCTGAAGTTGTCTGGGCGCACTGCCTTCACTGGAGGTGTTGTTCTCAGGCGTCATCTCTGGACCCAACTTATTCTAATGTTTCCCAGTGCCGGGCTCCCACCTGCTTCCATGGCTGCCCACTTAGCATCTGATGCCACCCACTTTCCCTCTGTCCCTGTGGATATGCTGCTGTCATGCTCTGCCCTCCCCAATGCATGCCTAGCATGTTGGAAGTTGTAGCCTTCTCTCATGTCTCAGCGGCCGTGTGGTTCATTCATGTTTTTGCTCTTATTAAGCCATTTCTGCAGGTCTCTCAGTTCAGGAAGTTCTAACACACACAAACTGATCCTCCTTACTTTGCAAAAGATGGTTGTGTGAAAGCCCTCAAGGTGCCCAACCTGGCTTTTTTTGTATTTGCAGGATGGTGAGATTGACCTGAAGCTTCTCACTAAAGTCCTGGCTCCAGAGCATGAAGTTCGAGAGGTACAGTAGCAGCATCAGCTCCTCACTTTCAGCTCAGTAACCAGCCAGCTCCCCAGGCTGGCCTGTGCCTCCCCCAGGCCTGGGTGGGTGTGCGAAGTTAACCACAATTGAGGGGAAAGGCCTTTCTTTGTCTTACCCAGTGATACCCCCCTTGGCAGGATGATGTCAGCTGGGACTGGGACCATCTCTACACAGAAGTGTCCTCAGAGCTCCTCACCGAGAGGGACCTGCTGCAGATGGAGAAAGAGGACCCTGCAGAACAGCCCAGGCACACCTAACCCTGTAACCTCTGCTCTGAGCTTGACAAAATGCAGTAAGCCTCAGACTAAAGAAGATTGCAGCAGCTTAGAATTTTTACATGGAAAATTTTGTAATGTAGCTATTTATTTTCAGTAGGTCACATTGGATCATTTAATTGCAATAAATTGCTTTATTCTGTGGCCAGCTCTTCTGTTTGTTTCCAGCACCCTCTTGGAAAGATTCATCACGAGCGAAGGAGGGCAATATTCAAACAGTCTGATGGGAATTTGAGTTCTCCATGTTGTCGAAGATCACGAGGGTTATGTTAGATTCAGGAGAGGAAGGAACGGGCGCTCTTCCTGGAAGTTGGTCACTTCTCAGGAGGCCACAGTAGTTCCCTGGAGTTCAGGCCTGCAAGCCCCTGGATGCAGGGATACGGGAGGTTGCCCGCTGCGACCCAGGGACAGGGCCTGTGGCATGATGCCTTTCTTACTGAGGACGTTCAGTGCTATCAGTTACATTAGGGAAGCTGCACTGTCGCCGTCACCATGTGCTTCCAGGCAGCTGTAGCTGTGGAGCAAAGTCTTCACTCAACGTCGGGGTTGGGTGGCTGTTCTGACAGCATTCTCCTTTCTCCCCTCTCCCTACAACCTGTGCTTTGGGCTCCAAAAGCATGTGTTTCCTTTCTGCCACAGGTCCCCAGAGCCTCATTTCTGGTTCTCATGGGAAGGGGCCAGCCCAGCAGCCCTGAGAGTCCCATGGAATCCCTCACTTAGGAAGCCCGGGCCTCCCTCTCCTCCTCATCCCTGTTTTCAGGGCCTCATAGCTCCCTCCAAGCATCATAACTGCCTGTTTCCAAATGGGCTGAGGTCAGGAGCAGAGCCCAATCCTTTTCCTAAACAGAGACATCTTTTGTTTTTGTTTTTCTCTCTCTCCCCCAAGACATCTCATCTGAGGACAGGGACCTCCTAGACACTGCTTTGGATGAAGCCTGGGCAGGCTGGCAGCAGCTAACCACAGCCCACTCCTCAGCCACGGGGAGCGCTGAGTGCTTCTCTTATCCTGTTTGGAAAGCCCTTCATTAAAATTCAGAAAAACAAAGAGGCTCAAGACATCAAAAACCCACTGGGGGGTTATTTTTGTATGGCTATGGTGAGCCACATGGCTCCAGAACAGAGCGAATGCTTATGTGTTAATTATAAACTCAGGGATTTAGTGGCTTTGGGGTCCTGTTTCCTCGTTTTTCCACAGTCACACTTTTAGCCCAGACAGCCCCTCTTTGGAATAATTCCCATGGCCACTGAGAAGTTTCCATGCAGAATGGTTTTTCTTGAGCCTACATCATTCTGAAACCCAAAGGAGAAAGGCTGTATTTCTAGTCCCTTAATTACTGTGAAATTCAGCTGCCTCGGGACTCTGATAACCTTGGAGGTCTTCAGCCAGCCTGAGCAAGTGGCTAGGGGTTGACTTCCTTCCTCCCTTTATTTTATAACAACAGCAGCAAGAAGAACTAACATTTATTGAGCTTTCACTACATGCAAGAGACTGGGCTCAGCACCTAGGAATTATCTAGCGTAATCCTCACAGGCACCCAGACTGTTGTTATTCCATTTTACAGATAAGGAAACTGAGGCACAGAGAGATTAAGAGATTGCTCAAGATTGTCTAGCTGCTGAATGGCAGAGCTGAAATTCAAAACCAAGTTCTCTGACTCCAGTGTGCTTTTTTTTTTTTTTTTAAAGATGACCGGTAAGGGGATCTTAACCCTTGACTTGGTGTTGTCAGCACCACGCTCTCCCAAGTGAGCTAACCAGCCGTCCCTATATAGGGATCTGAACCCGTGGCCTTGGTGTTATCAGCACCACACTCTCCCGAGTGAGCCACGGCCAGCCCTTCCAGTGTGCTTTTAACACCTGTGTTTTTGTTAGCTGCTGCTGCCTTCAGGAGGGGAAAGTAATCTAGCTTATAGCAGGCAGAATTGGAAGTTTGTGGGAGAAACTGCATGCCATGACCCCCACCCTCAGACTGGGCATTGATTCTTATCTCTGGAACAAGCATGGAGCAGGGGGCTCTGTCAGGCCTGCAGAGTGAAGCCTGTCCACATTGCTGAGCTCAAGAGTCCTGGCCCCAGGGAGGTGGGGACGAAGCCAGTGGACCTGGGTGAGGAACAGCTCTAAGTTGAGCAAGCTGAGCCTGGACAAGTCATGTGTAACCAAGTCTTCTGTCACCTTTCCTGTGCCCTGCCGTGTCCTGTCTAGGCTTCGTCCTTTACCCAGCACTTGAGCATTGTCATCAGATGCCTGGGGAATGAGATGATGTTCCAGAATCCATGTCTCCCAGTTCTTATCCAATTTCTAAGATACTTTCCTTATGTTACTTTTTTTTTTTTTTTCCTTTGGTGGCTGGCTAGGATAGGGAACTGAACCCTTGACCCTGGTGTTACAAGGCAGAGCTCTAACCGACTGAGAAACTGGCCATCTCTCCCTTCCTTATGTTACAGCCAGCAGTGTCATACATCCCAGACTTCAGAGAGCCTCCCCAAAAGATGGCCCAGGAGGGTGTGACAGAAAAGACAGGCATCCACAAGTACCAGCAATGTGGTTTTCTGTGAGGCCCAGGGAGGCATGAAATGAGTCTTGGTGCTGCCACCTCCTTGTGGCACGTTGACTTGTTTCTTACTAGTTTCTCCTAGACTGGCTCATATCATGTCTGAGCTGCCTTGGGTAGTCCCAGCAGGTCTCTGGCAAAATGCCCCTGGTGTCTTTGGCATTGGGTGGTAGCTGTAGAGATGCTGTTCATAGGCCAGGCTCTGATGGGAAGTTCATTCCTTCATCAAATATTGGTTGTCACCTGCCACATGCCAGGCTGTGTTCTAGGCACCACAGGAATAGAACTAGACAGGCAAAACTCCCCGCCCTCACAGAGTTTACATTCTGGAGGGGAGGTGAACAAGTAAAGTGGAATAGAGTATGTCAGATGGTAACAGGTGCTGGGGAGAAAAATAAAGCAGGAGCAGGGAAGGGAGTGTTGGGTGGGGGCTGCAATTTTAAAAGGGGTGGCTAGGGGAGGCTTCACTGAGAGGTGACATTCGAGTACAGACCTGAAGCATGTGAAGGAAGGAGCAAGACTGGTGTCCAGGGAAGTGTTCCAAGTAGTACTTGCAAAAGCCAGGAGGCAGGCGTGCCTGGCCTGTTTGAGGAGTGGCTAGAGGGCGTAAGGGAGAGGAGATGCTCTGCCTCACTGAGCCCAAGACCTGGGTTTATCAGGAAAGGCCTCTGGGTGTGTGGGGCCCCCTCCCTCTGTGATGTGGGAACTCTCAGGCTTCCTTGGGCTTGCCAGTCAGACTGTGGAAAACTTTCCTCAAACCACTGCACCGACTCTTCATGCCTCAGTCTGGAAAAAGTGAACTGTTAATGCTACATTGAGACAGAGGTCAGGAGGCTGCTGCCAGCTCCCCACCAGGCCTGGGTGTGCCCAGTATGCTGGGCAGGTGGAGCGGCATTGTAAGGCCCCTGCATGGAATGCTCCCTGGAAACTTGAAGCTCCCAATGAGCAGCTCAGGCAAGAAATTCATATGGCCAGGCCTGTAGCTGGTCATCTCTGTCCCTGATTGTTGGCTCATCTTTGCTAAACTCCAGGACACTCCAGACAGACTTTTGCAACTACATGCTACAGCCATAAGCTGATACTACTATTTGGTGTTGTCTGCTTAGTGGTTGGGGGGCCTCTGGGGACATTGGTGCCTGAAAGACTGCGTACAAAGTAGTGTTTGCTGCAGTGAGATGTGGAAGCTTAGCATCCTTGCTCTGCTTGCCCTAGCAGCGCCGGGCTTTTATTTTCGGAGCCAAAGAGTCAGTGGGGCGGGGGACAGACAGAAGGGACAGGTAGCAGATAACAGTGACGAAGAGCCAAGGTTCCAGAATCAGACAGAGTGGGGTTCAAGTCCCAGCTCTGCCACTTAGTAGCTTTGGGCCCTTGAGAGAGTTACTTTCCCTTTCTGGTCTTGTTTTCTCACCTGGAAAGTGAGATAGTGTAAGTACTACGCTCTTACAATTGTGGTGCCTGGTAAACTCTGGCTGCTGTTATTAGATCTTAGAACTGGTTGGGATCAAAAAGTGAATATAGGGAAGGTGACATTAGACATCCGCGTTTTGCTAGAGGATACCGCCTTCAACTCTCCTTGTACATCGTTTCTCAACCATGGATATAAGAATGGTGTGGCACAGGTTTTTTGTTGTTGTTGTTATTTGTAACAGCTTTATTGAGATATAATTTGCATACCTTAAAATTGAAAGTGTGTCCTTCGCCAGTGCCTTGGGGCCCACCTATGGACCCAAGGTAAGGAGCTGGGGACCAGACCCCGTCCCACAACCAGGCCCACCATGCCAGCACCTTGGGGCCTGCTCGGGGACCTGGGGTATGGATACGGGAACTAGATCCCCATCCCACAACCAGGCACCCCATGCCAGTGCCTCGGGGCCTTCCCTGGGACCTGGGGCATGGAGAAGGGGACTGGACCTCCCCCTCCCACAACCAGATACACCTCACCAGTGCCTCAGGTCTGCCTGTGGACCCGAGGCATGGAGAAGGGGACCAGACTCCCCTCCCACAACCAGGCACCCCATGCCAGTGCCTCGGGGCCCACCCAGGGATCTGGGGCATGGAGAAGGGGACCAGACTCCCCTCCCACAACCAGGCACCCCATGCCAGTGCCTCGGGGCCCACCCAGGGATCTGGGGCATGGAGAAGGGGACTGGACCCCCCTCCCACAACCAGCCACACCATGTCAGTGCCTTGGGACCCACTCAGTGACCCAGGGCATGGAACTGGGGATCAGACACTCTCCACAAAAAGGCACACTGCCAGCACCACAGAGCAGGCCAAAAACATCTCCTCCATGTGGGTGACCCACCATAGCTACCATGATAACCATGGCTACCGCAAAGGTGGCTAGATGCCACAACCACCACGCAGATGGTCTGCCAGCCATTGGAGTGAGTTGACACAAGGAGAGTCTCCAGCAGAGATAAAGAAAAGAGGATGTCTGTCTCCACAGAGCCCATTTCATAGTGACGGAAGAGACATCTGCTCTACGATAGTATTGGGGGACCTGATCACGCCTCTCAGCATTGGACAGATGATTTGGGCAGCAAATCAACAGAGTAACCATTATTCTTTCAGAGGGAGAGAAGAAATCTAGGG